ATTTATATTCGGACATTGGTCCGAATATAAATAGTGTAACTAATACTTATTTTTACATTAATGTATTTATTATTTCATTTTACTTTGATAAATTATTTATGTATTTATTTTAAATAATATTTTTATTTAACCATTTTCTTTTAATTTGTTAACAATTTTGTATTCAAGTATATTGGATTAGGAAAAGAGTATTTGGTTTAGGAAAGGAGATATTTTTAAAAAATCCGGGGCGCAGATTAACGTCGTGGGAAGACACGATATTGACACTCTGAAGCGCTTTCCGTCTAAGTAGATTATTTTCTCTTATAACTTTAACAAGTGTAGCACTTTTTTAAATCGAAAAGGTTTTCATTTTTGCCTTTATTCATATATATATAAGAACTTTTCCTTTTATCTTTTATCTTTATATATATATATATATATATATATATATATATATATATATATATATATATATATATATATTACATGAATCATTCATACAAAAAGTAGATTAGTAAAGCTAATAATATAAAATGGCGAAAACTTCATTTGCATTAACCTACGAACCACTCGATGAATGTTATGATCCTTTTAATAACTACAAGTTGTATAAGGTCTTTTTTAATCTGCTAGTTTTTTATCTGCGAATTTAAGAGAGAGCGTTTTTAATAAAATTCCTACAATAAAAAAATACTCAAATTATCATATTAATAAAAAAAAACGCACTCTCTTAAATTTTCAAAAAAAAAAAAAAAAATTCAACCTTAACGTTGCGACTGCACACTCCAAATTTTTTATCCGTTAACAATAACACATTTAAAAAAAAAAAAACATATTTCGATTCGCATTTAATCTTTCGTGTCCGCTACTACCTGGATTTACTAAAAACAAAATAATTTCCATGCCTGAGGATGGATGTATGTACAGCTGAAAGTACTAACAGATTAAAAAAAGACCTTATACAACTTGCAGTTATTAAAAACAAGGATTCATCGAGTGATTCGTAATTAATGCAACTTAAAAAAATTTGTTTGCGAAGAAGTTTTCGCTATTTTATATACTTTACTAATCTACTTTTTGTATGAATGATTCATGTAATATAAATTGAACTTCACCACACACACACACACACACACACACACACACACATATATATATATATATATATATATACTAGTGAATATACATAATATCCCACGTCGATAGCACGACACGGAGTTTCATGCTTAGTAAAGTTAAGAGTCACGATCAGTGAGTATCCTGCACCTGAATATTGCGTATTCACATGAAACTCTGAGTCGTGCTGTCGACGTGGGTTATTATGTATATCCACTAATGTATACTTAATAGCTCTTTTATATAACATCGAGCACTTTTTTAATACAGCTGAGAAAAGATATATATATAGGTACGAGAAAGTTTATTTGCGTATATGTATGTTTTTCACACACACACACACACACACACATAAGGTGACTTCTTGATATTATCATCCTTTGAAAGATCCTGAAAACCATGCACGAATTGACTCAAGACTTGACTAAAATTCGTTGTGCTAGCACGAAGTCACAAGTCATCGTGGCTGAGGGTATGAGTGTACTGGTTGATCATGCCAGATTATGTGCTCAGAAACTGTAACTAAAGACTGTTCAGCATTAATATTATAGACCACATTGACTCTGTGTCTGTTAAACAAACACAAATACGCCGAAAGAGGCGTCTGCTTTATAGAATGGCTAGTCGCCCTAGCAGAGGGTGTGTTCGGAAAATGAGTGGTCAGCCAACATATATGTATATATATATATATATATATATATATATATATATATATGTGTGTGTGTGTGTGTGTGTGTGTGTGTGTGTGTTAAAAATATTGTTTTAAAGTATGCTATAGTTATGAGTAAAAGGGAGTATCAGGGATAGAGTGTATGTAAATATAAAAGTAGACACTTATGAAAATACCAAGCGGCGACAGTCTGTTTTATGATTGAACGCCTTATAAACATATACATATAAATATACATATATATATGGAAGCTTTAATAATAAAAAAGAAAAAGCCAACTCTTAACAATATTAACTACGAACAAAGCCACAATGTGCTAAGCGTATTCGGAAATTAAAAACATCTCTACAACACACTAAAACATACACATAATGCACACACTCAATTAAGCTGAAAAATTAAATCATCCTTGATAATGGCTAAACGCATAGCCGAAAGCGCTCGGAACTATAAAACATTTGGACAGTTTTTACACACTCTTTGTCCAGAAAAGAAAGCTCTTGTTCGAACACAAGAAAAAATTAAATGAAAAGCTTAACCGTAGTACCTTGTTTGCCGTTTTAATGAGACATGCATATATATATATATATATATATATATATATATATATATATATATATATATATATATATATATATATATATACTAGCTTAAAGGCTGCACTCCGTGCGTACTTTTTAAACACATTAATTATTTTTCAGTTATTTTAAAATTTGAATTTTTAACTGTTCCCTCCCCATCCGGACAGAAATCTCGATACTAGATATTAAAGCACTAGATTAAAAAGTAGATTTTCAATTCCGGGATCATACTGATTCCAAAAAGTCTAATATATCTATGTAGAGCAAGTGTGGCCTGAGTTAGGGAGTGTTGAGACACATATGGACGGACAGACAGAATTTGCCGTTTATTTATTTAGTTCCCTCTTTGCAAGCCCCGGCGGTCACTCGAGGTAGAGGATTACCTTAGGAGGCAATTTGTTCGTATAGGAGTGCAAGATAACGATTAACCCTAGCCTTGAAGAAGTTAAGATTGTATTGATCGGGTTAACATCTTCTTGGTTGTCGGTTCACAGAGCAGTGGTCCGCGGGAAGAAGCTGTTCGAGTGGAACTTACTTCCCACCGATTGAATACGAAGGGAATGTGTGTGGTTTGCTACGATGGGCGTGGCATGATGTGTCATTGGCGTGAAAATTTGACTTGACGGGACCAGAGAAGGTAGTTCGTCCGAGCACTTTCCGTGGAAGTAAAGATAGGACAGCAAGAGGATTGCCACATCACGCCTGTGGAAGAGAGTCTGGGGGTTTGAAACGCTTTTGAACTCTATATAGGGTGGAGAGTAAGGTCTGGGCAGCTTCCACCCAAATATGACAACAGTACTCCATTTTTGGCCTAATCTGGCTCTTGTAAAGTAGATGATAACAGGAGGAATCAGGTACTCTTTGTTTTTATATATATATATATATATATATATATATATATATATATATGAAATATAGTTTTAAGGTGTGCTATATTTATGGGATAAAGTGCTCAATATCAGAGTTAGAGCGTATGTAAATATAAATATAAAAGGGAACATGAAACTGACTGTCGCATGTTCACTTTTATATTTATATATATATATATATATGTGTGTTTTGTGTTTGTGTATGAAAATGAGTTAAATAAAGGGCTATGAGTAACCATATATGCGTGCGATTACGTACACATACAGATGAGCAAATAAATATTTATTTAATTTTTGGAGTAAACAAAACAGTGCTCAATGTAGTTAAACAGAGCTATAAAGTATATATTATTAATTACACATATACCTACGTTTCTCACTCATCAGATACTGAGAGTTAACTCTCAGTACCTGATGAATAGGAAAGCCATAAACCGAGTCGTACTGCAAACGTAGGTATATGCCTAATTATTAATATTAATATATACATATACAATTAAGTAATTCATCGAGTCTAGAAGAAACCTCAACAGAATGCAGAATGCACTGGACAGTCGTTTCGACCTATATTTGGGACTTATCCACGCGCATCCACCGAGAATCGAAACCCAGACAGTAACATTATCAGTCAAACGTCATACCAACTGTTCCAACGGGCCTCGGTGACGATAAGGTAGCGAATCAGACTTGATATAGCGCCGCTCGATCACATATTCCGTAGTGGAACTCATCCTAGTTTCTCTTTGACTATAGGACTGTGCTCCCCACGAGCTTCGACTGATTCGCTACCTCATCGTCACCGAGGCCCGTTGACGTTTGACTGATAACGTTACTGTCCGGGTTTCAATTCTAGATAGTGGGTGCGCTCTGCTGATCAGTCCCAAATATAGAACGAAACGGCCATCCAGTGCTTTCTGCATTCTGTTGAGGTTTCTTCTAGACTCGATGAATTACTTAATTATAATAATCTCAAATCTTCCTAATTTCTGTCTCATATATAACACATATATTAACAAAGCTGTTTGAGTGATGGGATTTTAAATGCTTTTTAAGTTTGCTGGATCATGGTTGATTTTACAAGTATGAAAATAATTGCTACAATGGATGGACATCGTGGCTTCACCTTTAATTCTGAGTTTTCCATTTTTTTTGTTGAATCAATGTGGAAATTTTACCAATCTGATACTGGGACCGACCATGAGAATGTTCTGTCAATGGTTTGCCTTCACAAATCACATAAAAGATAAGTCCTTGACTCTCTGATTAAAAGTGCATATAGTTTCTCTTTATTTCATCTTTTATTTATTATTTTCTTCTATATTTTTTTCAAGTTCATCTTTTTTAAACCAATTATTAATTTCGATAATTCCCAAGACTGCGAGCTTAGTGGAATTTTATTTTAACAATTTATTTAGTAATAAAAGAAATAACGAAAATAATTATAAACTTACTTCCTAACAGTCAATCACAGAAAAAGAAAATTCGTATACGCACTTTATGTAAGCACGGTCTGTTGGGGGTGGAGAACTTTGGAAAATGTCTTAATGAATATTAACATATTAAAATTAGAATATTAAAATATTAAATTTTGTATAGAGACTCAAAAATATTTGAGTCTATATAATTTCGTTTTTAATAAAGTTATATCTGCAGCGCCCGCAAACTAAGAAATGGTCTTTCAAATTACCAATTTGTTTTTTTAAATGACAATAGTTTTTATTTGTTTCCAGTGGCTTTTTCATTGTCCGGTGATGTTTGAAAATAGTCCGTGGCTAAATGGACATAGTCTTCAGTAAACAGGAATCCAGTCGTATTGGTCCTTGAAGCGATAATCGACAGGGCGTAATCTTTGACAAATTGTCCCCATTTGAGCATTCTGGAAAAGAAAACAAATTTTTTATTATTATAAAATATATCTTAAAACTACATTTTTTATATTCTTGCGTTGGATCGTTTATTTACACGTTTAAACAAAGCAGTAAGATTATAGTGTATCAATTAAAATGAGACAAGCAGATAGTCGGGATACCTTGCCAAGCTCTTCCGGGTATTAGTGGGTGGGGTCTATTGGAATTTATTTAGCAGTGTTCAACTACAGATAAACTGAATTGTTAGTCATTTCGCTTTTAAAATGTATTGTTGGTAATTTTACTATAAATATGTATTGTTGGTATTTTTGTATAAAAATGTATTGCTGGTATTTTTATGCTTTCATATTGTTTTCTTCTTGTTTGTGGGTTCACTATGTGCCCATAGCTGGGACCCTAACAGACGCTACCACCTCCGATTAGGATGGACCTGGGAACAACAGCAATTAAGAGGTGGTTCAACCCTTCTCAAAACTACCCGATCACAGATCTTACTGCTGGATGTAGTTTATCGTCATACCAAGGATAGACTACATGGTAATATCAACAGAGAATAATTACTGATTTTATTGTTTATTTTATGTTAGCGCTGAGATGAAAATCGGGACTTGTATCTATAAATTGTCAAGTGAAATTGTTATTGTTGACAATAAGGTAAATCTTACAATCTTAAGCTTTAGCACTTCTTATACATTCTTCGTTGGTGATTATGACTCTCCACAATTTCCTGTCCTTTGTAGCTCTTAATAATTTTTGTCTTTTTGTTGTCTCTCCTAGACTTTGTTCCACCATCCAAATACTCAAGCTCGCAATGTAGGTCATACGTTGTTTCTCTTGCCTTCAATCTGTCTTATGAGTATCAAATTTTACAAGCCCTCTTTCCTCATTATGTGCCCTAGAAATTTCAACTACCTCTTCCTGGTGTTAAATATGTCGTTTTAAAAAAAGAACGTTGTGAGGATAATTTTAACTGAGATGATAACGTAAGATTCAAACAGATATAGAAGACTTTACAAGTTGGCTTTGTATGAAATATATGTCATGTCCTATGCTTGATTGAATTATATTTACGCTTTTTGCCTCTCTTTTTATTTTAGATTAAACTATTATGCTTCACTGAATTCAGTGCACATTTCTGACCACTGCATTCGATAGGATTGAATAAAAAACAAACTTCGAAATCAATAAAGAAAATGAAAGTTAGTTACACCGAATATTTAACGACATCGTGCTTCTGGCTATGCAATATCTGGATTTAAGATTACATTTCGGCGTTTAGACGATCCAATCTCATTCAATAGCAACTCGCATGCATCTTCGCAATAAAAGAAAAAATAAAACTGTTTTCACATCTTCTGTAAGATTTAGTATATTGAATCAAATACTTGCGAATGAGTGCATAATATTTATCGAGATAGTTTCACAGGTCACAAGTATTAAGTTCTCTTTTCATTAGAAACATAAGAAATGTGGTCTTACACAGATGAGTCAAAACATGACCGGAGATATGCTAAAAGAATGATAGCTACTGTCATTCTTGTAGCATAGACTTTACATGTCTGTGTTAGAGATATACATTTAATGTAAACATGCACGTGTTATAAGTTGTATAAACCGGATTTGAATAATTCATCTTAATGTTTTAAATGTCGCAGCTACGGGAAAGAAGAAATATATGAGTCGCATTGATTTAAAAAAAAAAAGATTATACTGGCCAGAAAACTAGGGGAGAGCATTTCTGAAACGGTACGGTTTGTGGGTGGTTCATGTTCTGTTGACCTGATGCAAAACCTTGTTCAGGGTACACAAACTAGAAGTTTTTTGTTTTTTTTTAATTTAGTGAAACCAAAGACGATTGGTTGAAAATTGACTTTTTATGCCCTGTGATGTTTTTTTTCTACTATATCTACAAATATCACATCATTCAGAATTTAATTTTGACAGCATTTTCCTTGATACTGCCATTTATATATATATATATATATATATATATATATATATATATATATATATATATATATTATTAAAATTTTTGCATATTACTACATATCATCATCATCATCTAAAAGGCGAATACTTAATAAAGTAAAATAAATCAGACAAAACTGACTACAAATTATAACAAGAGAAGATTTTTTCATGTGTTTAAAAGTAGGTCTTCAATCTAAGTCAATTTCTTAAGTTTTTGTGAAAATTTTCAACAATATTTTATCGTTTTAAAGAATGATTTCTCTCGATCCTATGTTCTATCGTTGTCAGAAATGTAAATCCGTGCTGGACAATTATGTTTTGGTCCAAGAACATAAAAATAATCAATCAACAACAAATTATTAGGCAGTCAAGATTTGTTCTTCTATGTACCGTGTCTCTTCATGATATAGGTGATCATGGCTCTCCACACGTGCCATTCATTCACACAAGCACATCTAGTAAATGGTTCACTGACTTCCCTTATCTCTTGTGCCCTCAATATGCCCCGTGAGGGTTAAGTTTTCCAATCCTTCTTTCCTCATAAGGAATTTCAGCTGTCTTTTTCTGATTTCTAAGTGTTCTTTTTGTTGACACTTTCTTTAAGACTTACTAGTTCAAGGAATTTTCAGAATTCTTCTATAAAATCACATTCTGCTGCTCCGAGGTTTTTTTCTGCACCCCTGTCCAACAACCAAGACTTATCGACACGAAAAGTGAACAATGGCTTAGCCGCAAGAACCCATCACCAAAAGCGTCTTCAATGGGAGCGCAGGTTTCAGAATTGTACCTTGTATCAATGGAAGAAGGTTAATCGGTGAGTTCCGCTTTCTCCTGAATAAGAGGAACAGCAGGGTACGTGTACATCGGTATCCTTAGAGACGATATCACAATGAAAATGATTGGAAATAGTGTGATGGTTTGGGCCAATATCTGCTTTAAAATACTGGGTTCACTCATTTGCATGAAAAGTACATTGTCACGTACCTTAACTTTATTGAAAAGCATATATACTCCTTAATGTCAACTGTATTCTACCATGATAGTGGCATCTTTCACCAGGACAATGCACCCTCCACATTAAACGAAAATTCCATCCCACTGTATGAGCACTTAGAGAATGTATTACATCAACAAATTCGCTATGAATAAACTCTACCACAAACTAGCAACATTTAAGTGCCTGCTGTTAACATCTTTGTCTGAAGTCACAGAGGAAACCTATAGATATATTGTTAGTCCATGCTCAATTATGTGTTGAAGCTGCTGGCAGTCACATTAAGGACCAACACCTTATTAGTCAAGTGAACATATGTTGGCTCATCAGTGCATATATATATATATATATATATATATATATATATAGAGAGAGAGAGAGAGAGAGAGAGACAGTATACTTAGGCAGCAAGTATTCATCAAAACAAGTTTGTTTAAAAAGTACAGGCAATTATTTTATTTTTCCAATTTTGGAATTGGGTGTTGTGTATTGGGATCAAAATTAGGAATAAACTGTCGGAAGATCATGTTTATATTGCTGTTTGTTCAAGTACTTTCGACCTTTATTTTCAGTCATTTTCAAAATCCAATGCCGTGTCTAGGCAGAATTCCGTTGTCTACATCCTGGTATTCTTTGTAAAATTGAAACTTTGGATAGTCTTCGGTGACGTCATATGTGAGGTCATGTTTTAAATAGTCTACTGTGACCCATATCTATCTATCTATCTATCTATCTATCTCTCTATCTATATATATATATATATATATATATATATATATATATATATATATATATATATATATATATATATATATATTTAAGTAATGAAGAACTTGGTAATCCGTATGGGTAATCCCAAGGAGGATGAAATACTGAGAGCTCAATGTAAATCCAGAGCTAATATTTAAAATACATATGCATGTGTGGACGGTTATGGGTAGAGTTCTTTTAATATGCTTGTTTATGTATATAATCATGTGTTTATATGTAGGTGTATGTATATGTGTATGTAGATGTGTATATATGTATATATATGGTTGTATATGTATGTATATGTGTGTTTATATATATATATATATATGTGTGTGTGTGTGTGTGCGTGCGAGCGTGTGTGTGTGTGTGTGTGTGTGGAACGTATTCAAATGGAAGGACATGGGTCATTTTAATGGTGTTTTAAAATTACTCTTTTTAATTTTTAATATCACTTTCTCCTTTAATGTTCTATAATTAGAATTATGAGAGTGTATATTTATCTTCTGGAGGTATTTTCATTTTAAATTGATAACTTAACTTAAATTTAAATATACCACTCTTTAACTATCAATATTAATAGTAAAATATTAACAAAATTCTTTTAATAATTAAGCACTTCAGAAGTCACTTAACGTTAAACTTTAACTATGAAATCAAACAAAAATGTAAATAAATTTCAAATATTAAAATATAGGTAATTATTTATAAATGTATGTATATATAATTTATGTATGAATATAGATGAGCATTTGTGTATATTGTTACACGTGTGTCTATTGTGTATTTGCGCATGTAAATAAACGTATGTATATGTGGGATTTGCATGAATATGTTTGTGATATATATAAGAAAACAAAATCATTAATATTACCCTCAAATATTATTCCATTATGAAACCTAAACCTTAAGTAAGTTTACCCATATAATAATAAAGAGAAATTGCATTCATAAATTAGATTAAAAGTAAAACTAATAAAGATGTTACTGTAACTATTTTTACAATATTAAGGAAGTACGATTGGTCGGGTAAATAAACTATTATAATTTAAAATACTTCTTTAATATGTTCTCTATAAATGCGTTAATAAAAATAGTAGTTAACTTATATTAAGTCCCTAAACTATTTGCTCAAAAAATTAAATATTTAAATTGATAGCAATCATCAAATTTTTTGGACATCTAAATTTCTATCAAGCATTGAAATCTGTCCTTTACATAAATTGTTAAAACCCAATTACAGCCTCTTTCTCTTTACTTCCCTCTCCCTCTCTTTCCTTGCTGTAACACTCATTTGTATATATCTGTATTACTGTTTTCTGTCTCCTCTTTCTTTTCATTTTCCTTTTCTTTTCTCCCTACTCCCCTTCCATTTCTATATATCATTTCCGTTAAGTTAACCATCTAAATAGGTCAAGGTCTGGTCACTCCTCCTACCCCAATATAAAGTACACTTGAGAGAGATATGAAATTAAACCCTCCCTACTCTCTACCATGTCTCTTTAACTATCCTCTCACACCCTCTGTTAAATTACAAAAACTTACACTACTCATCAATTTTAATCTCATTTTCGTTTCATTTCGTTGTTGGAAGTGCTATCTGATGATCCGGCGTCTTTTAAAAGGACTCTGGTGAAATAAATTATTATAATGGTACCTTAAAGTGGTCTGTTTTTCTTTTAAATACATACATATATATATATATATATATATATATATATATATATATATATATATATATATATATATATATATATATATATATATATATATATATGCAAATGTCCGATGAAGTTCTAAAGGAGAAAACGCGCAATAAGTAAACTTTTTCCAATTTATCATACAATTTCTCCATATATATATATATATATATATATATATATATATATGGGGGGGTATGCACACACATACTAAATATATCATATAAACTTTATTATATCGTCTCGTGTATCGAATGATATTTTATTCTATGTGGTCTACTTATTTTGTATAAGAAAAGCTTCTTAGGTTTTGAGTTTTTCCTTCCATTGGATGCTGAAGAGTGTTTTGATATTATCTACTAATTTTTATCTTATATCAATAGCTATATTTTACTTGTTCATGATGTGTTAGTTGATATGTACAGGAATTGCAACGAGTTTTGACAGCTTAGCCTACGAGAGAATGTGATGCATGTGTGATCAATGTAAGAATTTTATGCGGTTTTTAATATTAATATTGGAGATGCAATCTCCCAGAGGACATGAAAAATCATACAACAACATTCAATTTACATAAGGGGAATTTTTGATAATTGTTGATAATGATTAGATTAGATATTTTAAACTTTTTATAGAAGACGATATATAATATATTTATTATTTATTTGCGCCATAGCTGGGAGTGATGCATTTATACCTTTCCTAATGGTATTTGTGCTTAAGTGAATGTACTGAACCTGACTGGAATTCGAACTCGGCTCTCCGACTTTCCATTCCATGATGCTATCCATTATATCACCTGCAATTCACTACCTGGTGGAAAGGGGAAGCATTTGTTATTTTGCCACTTCTGATGAGAAGGTTTCGGTTATTTAGGTATATACTCTTGGCATAGATGAACGTGTGTTAATTTCTTATTTTCTTTTCAATGAAGTTAAAAGAAGCACAGACATATAATTCCATTCACTATATTCGTTTGTAATTCATCTCAATGAATTGCAATTGAATATAATAAGTAGAATTATTCCGACTATTTCAGACGGGCATTTGAATAGTTGTGACCTGAAGTTTTTGTACAAGTTTCTTTGGACAATATATATATATATATTACCAATTTGTGACTGGTAGGGATACTTCCAAGGAGGATATTAATCCAGGGAGAGCTCAATGTAGACTGCGGATAATAATAATAATAATAATAACAATAATAATAATCAAGAAGAAAAGCTTAAAGATTCATTTCGGTTATAATTTATTTCGTGAACATCTAGATATTCATCTCTTCAGACCGAAATCTCTTACTAAATTTAAGTTTAGGTTTAATAAGAGATTTCGGTCAGGTTTTCAGGATCTTTTAAAGGATGATAATATCAAGAAGTCACCTTACTGAGAAATCGTGTGTGTGTGTGTGTGTGTGTGTGTGTGTGTGTGTGTGTGTGTGTGTGTGTGTGTGTGTGTGCAAATATGTAGAAAATAGGAAAGAACTCGTTAGGTAAATAATCCGAAGTTCTTTAGTATTTTTGTTTTTATTTTTAAAAAACAGTGCTCGATACAAAAGTAGAGCCTAATTAAGCTCTGTTTCATGCTTGTGGCTTAAATTCAATTTAATTCTAATAATTATATTGAAGTTTTCAGCTCTTGTTTTTGAAATATGAGAACTCTTATGTAGCGAAGGAATCATATTTTTAAGAAATAATTATAATACAGATAGATAGATAGATAGATAGATAGATAATGAAGAGAACGAGATAGATAGATAGATAGATAGATAGATAGATAGATAGATAGATAGATTAATCAGTTCACCAGGAGAACGAAGAGGCTTACAGAGATTGAAAGTGAAAGAAAATGAGAAGACAGAGAATGGGGAGAATGACAAAAAAAAAAGGAACAGGGTTCAAAAACACAGAAGATGGCGACTGACGCTGCATTTAAATTTTTGAAAATTGTAGTTATCCTGGAAGCAAGGAAACAAAAAGGAGTTCCACAGGTGTGAAGTGCGAGAAAAAACTGTTAGAGTAGAAGTAGTGGTTGTATCTAGTTAGTTCAGCAGTAAAATGGTGAAACCAAGTTGCCAATCTAGTTACATGCTTAAATTCATGTAGTCGGTGCACCATGTGGGAAATCTAATCAGAACAGTTGCCATGTTAATATTTGTAGAAAAGACAGAGTGGGGCCATGTCACGTCGGTGAGAAAGAGACTGTAAGACTGGAGTCGAGATGCTTGGTTAAGATCGATTACATTACAGAACCTTCTTTGGATTTTGTCAAGAATCTCGATATGTACAGCAGACATATAGCGACAGTATTCATTGCACGGATGAATGACAGATTTAGAAATGTGCAAGATGACATCTGACGAGAATTTTTCTGGCACGACACAATGAACCAACTTTCCTTGTAGTAGATGAAACAATTGATTTGATGTATTATATTTATTTCACCCTAAGAAAGGCAATAAAGTCACTAAGACGCGAGAGGTTACTGAGAGTCAAAGAAACACAGGGAAACAAGAAAAGAACAGGTTTCAAGGAGACTAAATGTGGCGACTGGGATTGAATTTTCATTTTTCAAGATCGTAGCTGACAGGAACGTGGCACGGGGGAGTAGTGGATAACACCTCGGATTGAGAAATCGGAGAGCAGAGTTCGAATTCCAGTCGAATCCATTAGATTCACTGACGTGCTAATACCCTTGGGAAAGGTATGACTCCTCTTCTTCTCTCCCCTCCAGCTATGGGTAAATAGCAGGACAGACCTGGTTTTATAGCCAGAAAGAAATGGCAACCTACTGCGAGAAAAACCAGCCTCGTCAGTCATGTAATGAAAGATACATGATCGCCTAAGCGTGTATCATGCATAGCACATAACTGAGTTGACAGGAAAGAAACGGGAAGAGTGTTTCACAAGTGAAAAGTGCGAGAAAAGAAACTATTAAAATAAAAATTCAACAGAAAAATGATGAGACCTAGATGCCAATCTGATACTACGCTTAAGATCCTGACATCGAGGAACCAAAGCAGAAAGCTCATCAGAACTATTGCTATGTTTATAGAAAAGGCGTTACGGCGGTGGGAATATGATTGAAGCCGGGGACGGATAACTTTGGAATTTTGACTTTAAGCCCTCACGCCACACACACACACACACACACACACTCAGTCCACACCGGAGTTGATAAGACAGACGACTGATATCCTCGTTATATGAGGTGATTTTTGGATTTTATTGTTAATTAATTTGCTCCGTAATAATAAATACATAGAGCTCATTTTGTGCATCAGTTTTAATATTTTATATTACGAGGATCCACTTATTATATACCAACGGATACTATATATATATATATGTGTGTGTGTGTGTATGTGTGTGCGTGTGCGTGTGCTTGCGTGTGTGTGTATGTATTTAGATAGATAGATAGATAGATAGATAGATAGATAGATAGATAGATAGAGTGTGGGGACATATGGCGGGTGATGAGTAAGCAGAATAAAATGTAAGATTAACAACTGCATATTAGTTTTTAAGCAAATATACATAATGAAAATACTTACTCTTTATCTTCCATTGTTGATTTTCTGTTATTTTTTGTTTGTTCCTTCTTTTTGTCTCTGAAATAAAATTTATATTTATAATAAGCGATTAATAAATTATTACAAAGGTACGCGATAATATTGTTTATCATACATCTTTTTTGTTAGTTGTATTCACGTTATTTACTTTGCCTCGCCCCCCCCCCTTAGGGATGAGATGTGACACAAGGTTTATTTTGAGGTGGGGACCCGAGCGCGTACGCCCGGGACAGGAACAAAAATTCCCCTCAGCCCCCGCAACCGTCGGTTGCGCTGGCCACGATGCGATATGCAATCATATCTAAAATATTATCCATCAGACCTACAAATTTGGAGGTCTGATGAATTGATCATATTTACGATTCCAATGGAATAAATTATGACCATGGAATATTAGTGTTTAAGCCTTTTTATCATATATATATATATATATATATATATATATATATATATATATATATAGAGAGAGAGAGAGAGAGAGAGTGGAGTGATGTTATTTTATTGTCTTTTTGTAGTTTTTAAATACCTTTGAAATCCTGCTCGCTAGCTATTTCAATTATTAAATTCCGCATATTACTACACATCATCATCATCATCATCTAAAAGGTGAATACTTTCTTAACAAAGTAAAATAAATTAGACAAAACTGACTACAAACCATAATAAGAGATTTTTCATGTGTTTATAAGCAGATTTTCATTCTAAGTCAATTTCTTAATTTTTTGTGAAGATTTTCAACAGTATTTTATCGTCTTTAAGAATGATTCCTCTCGTTTCTATGTTCTGTCGTTTTCAGATATGTAAATCAGTGCAGGACAATTATGCAAGCATATCTCGGCTAAACTTTTGAAAGTAACTCGTGCGTAAAGAGTCGCAAATCACAAGCCGCTGCTACTTCTTGAAATTGAGCGAGAAAACGAATTTTCTCGATGGTAAGTTGCAATAAATTGATTGTGATGTGAAGATCTTTGCATAGAAGATTTGCAGGTAGAAATTTCGCGTATAGTATAGCATCGTAAATTTTGTATGGCAGCGAAATGCTTAGAATTCCAATTAAAAACTTAAACCAACAATGTTTACACCAGTAAACATGTTCGCTTACAATAAACATTTTGATAAACACAAAAAATTAAGTGTATATAAAAATCAAATAAAGAAATGGCTAATATAGACGACACATTATATGAATTATTGTTATTCGAACTATCATGTTTATTTTGTCTGTTACGCTTACAACGTTGTATTCTCCGGCCTTCTTCGTTGTGCCTGATAATCTTGAAACAAACTCTTTATTAAATACACAGGTCTATATTGTTCTCATTCCGCTGTGACGAGGGGGGATAACTCATATCAGTTAACACTCATCAGTCTTATTCAGTTTTGTAGCTTTGACTGTTTCTAACAATGAACCAGATTATACGATTTTTTTTACTACTACTTGACATAAGGATTAAACCCACAACTACCAGGAAACCATATATGTTTTAACCAACGCCTAATCCACTAGGTCATGTGTCTTTCCGACATAATACGAATTATACTACATTCCGTCAATGTAAATAAGATTTTAAAATGATCATAACTTTAATTATTCACTTATTCTTTTTGCAATGTGACATCGACTGTCGATATTGAACACTGTATTTGATTCAAGCGTACACATTTGTGCAAATTAATTGCATCAAAATGAATAATTCCGTTATTATTTACTTTTTTTATTTTTTTTACAGTAAAACATCATGACTCAGTGCACATGTTAGTACTTCGTATGTCCATTTCACAAAGTCCTTCCTTGCAGACTGACCACAGATTCTCGAATGGATTTTAAACCAGGAGAGTTTCTGGGCCAGTTTATGGTACTTTGGTTGCTCAATAGTAAGGCTTGCCAGTGTGTTCATGCAGCGTTACAATTTTCGTACGCTTCCTTGGAGTAACGTCCATCGCAGACAATGGCCACAGGACAACTAATCATCAGTCAAGACAATAGCGTCTGGACGTGAAAAAATCTGATGCAATCACGGATGACGCAATATTTTTCATGGCCAAACAAATTTCATCATACACCCCGAAAATAGATTCATATTACTGCACATCACTGCAAATGACCTAATCTGAGGAAAAAAAATAAAGATTGATTACACCGTGTCACTCCAGTGGGTCTAAAACTGACAGTATGATGAAAGAAAGGAAACTACAGTGGTTGCTTCAATTAATTTACACGAGGGTATAGATGATAGCGGATGCATGACTACTAAAGTTACCTTTGCTTATCCTTTGGAGTAGTATGGATTTTCTTTTTCGCTCCTATCCACTGAACGAATGCCTTTCGCGCTGACGTCTTTGGCACCTGTCCTTGACCTTTGGTATCGACACTCTTGAACACTTTACGTAGATCTTCGATTTCGCTTGCTTTCAGAAGGTGAAGTAATTTATTCTGCAACAAAAAAGAAGTCATAATTCACAAATGATAAGTAAAAATTACCGATGTCTGATAACAGTTGCTTCAGATACATTACAACAATTTCATGCAAGAAATGTCTCAATTATGATGCAACAGACCTAATATAACTTATATTTTTGTTTTAATTGATTTTTATTTGGCACGTTTTTACTCAATTACCAAACATGAGAATTACATCTTAGTATGACCGATAACTTTTCAGCATCTCACCAGATATGAAAAAATAATTGTTTAATTTTTCACAAGCACACATACATCCCAAACCTGCATAGACAAACCAGAATTATGATACATTTGCGCACATAAATTATACACACGAACGCTGTTTGACTAATCAAATGCACGTGGTCAACTTAACCAATTAAAATCAAACAACACAAAAGTAATAACATATTTTTTCTGTACTTCATTCCCTGTTAAAACTCTAATATTTTAGATTTATGTTTTCTGTTTGTTCCTTATCCTATCATTCTGTCAGATTCCAATCCATATTTGATCCCAATTTATTATATATATATATATATATATATATATATATATATATATATATATATATATATATATATATATATATATAAAAGATATTAGCTATATAAAAAATTAAATATATATATATATATATATATATATATATATATATATATATATATATATATATATATATATATATAAATTACAAATAGATTTTTCTCATTCTTTCTTTTTTAATTTTTCTCTTATTTTGTCATCTTTCCTTTCCTCTTCCTTCCTGTTTCTTTAAAGTATAAAATCTTTAAGCTGCCTTTTTATTTTATCCCAAACCCGTTGGTGTTGACAAACCTTGCAAGGTTAATACTTGCTGGGAGAAATACCTATTCAAATGGGTTATATATATATATATATATATATATATATATATATATATATATATATATATATCAGTGACAGATATCCGTTCTCTCAGTGTGAAACTCTTGGAAATAAAATTATAGAAACAAAAACAAAAGTGTAAGCAAACTGAATGAGATCGATCGGCTTGATACAGACATGTTTGACATAAAGCATCTTTGAAATTAAAAAAAAATTAATTTAGCTTTCCCACATACTTAGTACTTCTCCACGCGTTTATAACTGCCCACCCCCTACACATATTTCACGAAGAAAAAACATTACTTTAATCTGATGAAGTCCTTCTAGAGGACGAAACATGTTACTCAGAAGCTTTCCACTTTCTCATTCAATTGCCTTTGTTCTGATAAATAAAAGTTCATCATATTCTCCTATCTATCTATCTATCTATCTCATCCCCCCCTCTCCCTCTCTCTCTCTCTCTCTCTCTCTCTCTCTCTCTCTCTCTCTCTCTCTCTCTCCATGCCAAATTCACTATAATTGAGAGAATAGAAAAGTTCAGAGCAGATAACATTAGAAAAATTTTAGAGTCCCATGAAAATAAGTGGATACAACGTCTAAAAACACAATATCCAACCGGGCTAAACCATAAAATTAACAATATAGATAGTACTAATATATAACTCAGCAAATCAAAACTTACCCACATTTCTCACCCACACAAGACAGACATGCTTACGGAGGTGTGGAGGCCTCACACTTATACACATACCCACACGAATATACACACTTACACACATCATACTCACTCACTCCCTAATGAGCCAAATGATAACACACACCCACAGCAATACACACGCTTACACATATCATACTCACTCACTCCCTAAGACAAAATAACACACACACAAACACTAAACAGAGACACATCCCCTCTCCAGGACCAATAAAACTGTCAAACTGACCACGGGAATTCAGAGAAGCATAGATCCCTTCAGCTCTTATCTCAAATAACAACTTAAAAGAGAATGTTTGATCAACACAAGGAATGTTAAAAGATTCATGTTAAAAAGATAAAAAACAAATGAAAACTACAGACAAAAGTTCATTTTCTCCAGCAAGACATTCATTTCTGTAGATTACTGCTACCAGCAAGCAGAAATATTTCTTCTCCCGATGATGGCCATTTTGGACGAAACTAGTCGAGGAATCTAAATGAAATAATAATAATAAAAACGAAAGAATATTAATCTACAACCCAGTGTGTCTGAAGATTTTATTTTTTAATATTTTTTATTGTTCAATATATATATATATATATATATATATATATATATTTTTATATATATATAATTTCTATATATATTATATATGCGCGGTACTTATTGGAAAGTGCTGAAAAAGTCCCAGATAAGATGGGCGGGGTCATGTAATAAGAATACCTGATTGTAAAAAATTCCGAAAATTCTGATGTAGAGTTCATGATGCTCAACGTAATGTTGGAAGACGCCTTGGATGATACAAAAATAATCGCAAAGCTAACATAAGGTCAATTACAATACATCCAAAAATCTTGGAGGAGAATGTTCAGAATCCTGTAGAATTTTAAATAATCGTACAATGCAATCGTTATGTGTAGTCGAGAATGGAGCACTTGAGTGAATTGGGACATAGTTGTGTCAAGACAAGTTCCATGCATTTGCAATAAATATATAACATCTATATATCTATCTATCTCTCTCCCTTTCTCTCTCTCTCTCTCTCTCTATATATATATATATATATATATATATATATATATATATTAATAAATATGCATATTTTTCCTCATTGGTAGCACGACTCTGAGCGTCATGCAAAACGCAATCTTCAGGTGTTGAGTTAAGACAAAACGTTACATAGTTTATAGCTCTGTTATATTGTATCAAGCATTATTTTGTTAACACCTCTATTCAATGTGCGAAATTATATATATATATATATATATATATATATAGAGAGAGAGAGAGAGAGAGATAGATAGATAGATAGATAGATAGATAGATAGATAGATAGATAGATAGATAGATAGATAGAGTACAAACAGTATTTATTCAGGTTTCACGACGCATCCGATGTTGTTTAAGATATGAAAAAGAAGAAAATGTACATATAAATACATGCACACGCATACACATGCACAAACACAAACATATACTCACACAAACACACACAAACACACATATATATATATATATAGATATATATATATGCATTCATATATACGTATACACCTACATGTAGATATATATTCACGCAATATATGCACACATACATATACATATACATACATATACCTTCACATAGAACAAATGGGAACGAACATTCACAAGAACTGTCAGATGTTGATGAAATATATAAAGAGGTTTGCCTGCGTGCTGAGTTCATCAGTTCAAGTTCTACATTCTTTAATTCGAATATCCTCATTTTGACGTCGGCACGGCCACCAAACACGCACCGTGCTTTGATCGATCGTTAAGCGGGATCACCACTGCTATATTGAGAACGATGAAAAGATACCAACTGGATGATAGCGAGGTCAATATGAAGAAAATTTTTCCTGGACAGATTACATTTTGGAAAAATCTGTTGATCGTTTCCTTGAATGTAACAATTGGCTAATGGATTATCCTTCTAAGATAACATTTGTTACACAATTATCCGCTCAGCTCCCTTCTTTCCTGCTCTCAAACACACTCAAACACACACACACACACACACATATATATATATATATATATATATATATATATATATATATATATATATATATATACCCAAGTATAGGATTGGTGTATATGGAATAAACTTCAATAACCAACAAATAATATTCTTAAAAGAGTAATCAATAAAGACTAGAGCAGATATCATTATTTATTCGAAAATTATAACGTAAATATGTTATAAGATCACTACAAAAATAGCAATTTTGTTTCAACACTTCTGGTGTCTTATCAAGTGATGATGTTGAATGTATAATAAAGGGTTTTAAAAGGTTCAAATCAATCAAACATCCCTAGCTACGAGAAACGCTATTGTATTTTGATTGGGCATTCCAGCTTATGTAACAGCGTTTTTTGAATAAATAATTATATATATATATATATATATATATATATATATATATATATATCAGCATTCAAGATTCTGACTATATATACATATATATATGATAAAAATATAGTTTTAAAGTATTCTATATTTAGTGCTCAATATCAATGTTAGAGTGTATGTAAATGCAAGAGAGGACACTGAGGTCAACACCAAGTGCACGAAATTTTCAAACCACATATATATTTATATATATATATATATATATATATATATATATATATATATATATATATATCTTAGAAACAACTAAACATCTTTGATCTAAATAATGCCGCACTTATCAAAAGAGAAAGTCACTTACTTAGAAGGAAAATTCTCCAGTGTTTTGCTATCTAATCTTATCATATCTTCCAATATGGCCACTCCTAAAAGAATACTACTTTTCCAAAATACCTGACTACATCTATCTATCTATCTATCTATCTATCTATCTATCTATCTATCTCTCTCTCTCTCTCTCTCTATATATATATATATATATATATATATATATATATATATATATAAAACGTAGGGTAATATAAAAGGTATACATTATGCATCTTACGATACAGCTATAGATGTTCAAGAAGGGACAATGACTGAAAGAATTAAATTGAACGAGAGAAAATCGATAAAAAATGGAGAAATTAAATAAATGTGTTTCAATAAAACTGGGACGATATACTTACATATTTAATGCGATAATGGGATCAGGAAATTTGTTGCTTTTATTTTCTAGGTGGAATGGGACTGTCTCCTGACATAAAAATCACCATTCAAAATTCTAACCTTAACTTTGGGCCAGAGCACTGACCACCGGTTAAAAACCAACTGCATCAGCCACCACAACATGCATTGTTTGTTTGTGCTTATGTCTCTATATGATTGTATGTATATGTGTGTGTTTGTGTTTTTGTGTGTGTACGTGTGTGTGTATGTGTGCCTTCCAAAAAAGCGAACAGAAAAAAACATTTGAATACAAGGAACTGATGAGAATAGAAAAGGATTAC